ATTTCCAAAGAATGGTTATGGTAACTTTGATATTGCTTGAGTTTTGATAACTGAGCAATCTTTGATTAATTCAGCTAAGTTTTAAACCAATAAAAGTGCCGCAGCCATTTTTATTCCAAAAAAATGTTCCGTGTTTTTATTTAGGTTAATATAGTGCACCGCATGCAATTCGATGGGAACACGCTGCACCTAGCTCACGATACTGCGCGTGGGTGCACTCTGTGACAGCGTGCGCTAAAAGCTCTGTACCGATGTTGATTGTGGAGCACAGGGATGTTTGTGAAAACAATGACACTTTTTTCCTAACACAGACACACACTTTTAGGGCCTGTTCACATGAGTTTCCGGTCCTGATCAGCAGATGCGGTGCTATGTGTTTTGTGGCGTTTTTGTGGCGTTTTTGATGCGTTACAGTAAAAAAAAAACTTCCCCCCATACATACACGCATGCAAACAGGCATCGGGTGCGCATACGTGCGAAAACAATGATTGCGCCCATTAAGCTGCACATGTTACATATCGTCGCGAACGTCGGAATGAGAGCAATAATTCTAGAGCCATCAGTCACTGATTAAACTAAACTGGTGAGCGGTAAAAGCTTTTAACCTCTTGCCGTCCGCCCGTAGTAAAAAAACGGAATCAATTTTTTGGTATGGTAATTTTTGGTAATGTTTGGTGTCTATTTTTCCGACGTGACCCCGTCTTTATATTTTACCAAAAATATGGGTAATAATCATTGTTTCCCAATATAATGGGGGGGGAAACTTTTTTTTCCCAACATTTTCAATAATTTTTCCTTAATATAGTAAAAAATTAAAACCGCAGTGGTGATTAAATACCACCAAAAGAAAGCTCTATCTGTCCCCAAAAAATGCTATAAAATTAATTTCAGTACAGCGTTGCATGACGGAATAAATGTCAGTCAAAGTACCGCAGCACTGAATACTGAAAAATGGCCTGGCCAGGAAGGGAGTCTAAACACCTGGTCTTGAAGTGATTAATTTTTCTAGGGCTGCAACCAACTAATTGATTGATCGATAATAATTGATAATGAGAATAGTTACATAGATACATAGTATTTGGGGTTGAATAAAGACATACGTCCATCAAGTCCAACCCATGTAGGTCCACGCATCATCTCATTCTTAGGGATACTGGTATCCCTGGATATTACGGTCCCTCAAGAAATTGTCCAAACGTTTCTTGAACAAATCTACACTCTTGGCTGAAATCACTGCCGATGGCAGTGAGTTCCAGACCTTAACCGCTCTTACTGTAAAGAACCCTCTTCGCCCATTGTGCTGGAATTTTTTCTCCACCAACTTTAGGTGGTGGCCTCTAGTCTTTGTAATGGAGTTAATCTCAAACAGTTTGTTGCCAATGTTGCTGTCACCATTGAACATCTTGTACATGAAAATCATATCCCCCCTTAATCTCCTTAATTCCAGCGTAAACATGTTTAAGGTCAGAAGCCTTGTCTCATAGCTCTGGTCCTCCATTCCCCTAATTAGTTTTGTTGCCCTCCGCTGGACTCTCTCCAGTTCAAGGACATCCCTTCTCAGTACCGGCGACCAAAACTGGACCGCGTACTCCAGATGTGGCCGAACCAACGATCTATATAGAGGCACAATTATAGACTTGTCCCTGCAATACATCCCCTTCTTAATACAGGACAAGACCCTGCTAGCTTTGTTTACCGCAGCTTGGCACTGCAAGCTACCATTCAGTTTGTGGTCTACAATGACCCCCAAATCTTTTTCTATTTCTGACTTCCCTAGCGGCATACCCATGATTGTATAGCCTATTTGTTTATTTTTATGTCCAAAGTGCATTACTTTGCATTTATCGACATTAAACCTCATCTGCCATAGTATTGCCCACTCCCCTATTTTATCCAGGTCCTCCTGCAATGTTATATTGTCACGATCCGTTTCTAGTACCCTCCCTATTTTTGTATCGTCTGCAAACACGGAAACATGGTTATTTATTCCCTCCCCGATGTCATTATCGAATAGGTTGAACAGTATCGGACCCAGCACAGATCCTTGAGGCACACCGCTCATTACACTAGCCCAGTCCGAAAAGGTGCCATTTACAGATACTCTCTGTAGTAGTTGTCAACTACTTTTATTATCGATTAGTTGGTCTGGGTTTCCTGGTTCTTTTCTCTACGCTGTGAGGCGGTGTTTAATCGGCTGTGTCCCCTCCGATCCACACGGGAGTAGAAAAGTAAACGAAATAAAGCTGCCCTTCCCCCAATTATTTAAAAAAAACTAAAAATGGTGGGAAAAAAGTCATTTTTAGTTCCGGCTTGACAAATTCTGGTGCTGGAGGTGCTATTCAGTTTAGTGGCACCCCAAATGCGCCTCCCACCCGCAGCATGACTGTCCGCACTGAAACAAACGTTTCCGCAATGTCGTGTGCTCCAGTGTGGTGGAATTGCAAAACATTGTGCATGCAGTTTTATTCTGAAGTAAACTTTGTTTATAACACTCCATTTGTGTATTGTATTTTAAATTAAGGATTGTACTTATTTATTTTATCTGATTAATCGAAAAATATTTCATTAACTAATCGACTATGAAAATAATCATTTGTTGCAGCTCTTTTCCAAAGCCTTTGATACGGTGCGACATAAACGCTTGTTATACAAGCTAAGGGCTATGGGCATAGATGAATTAGTGTGCACGTGGATAGAAAACTGGCTACAAGAACGTGCACAAAGAGTATCAGTAAATGGCACCTTTTCAGACTGGGCGGAGGTCATGAGTGGCGTGCCCCAGGGTTCTGTGCTGGGTCCCATGCTTTTTAACCTATTTATTAATTTATATTGGGGAGGGAGTGAATAGTCATGTCTCAGTGTTTGCTGATGATACGAAAATTGGGAGGGTAATATACACGGATTCAGACATTATAACATTACAGGAGGACCTGGATAAAATCGGGGAATGGGCAACTGTATGGCAGATGAAGTTCAATGTCGATAAATGTAAGGTAATGCACTTTGGAGTTAAAAATAGGCAAATGGACTATACACTTATGGGTGTGCCACTAGGGAAGTCGGAAACGGAGAAGGATTTGGGGGTCATTATAGACCGCAGATTGAAGAACAGCTCGCAGTGCCAGGCTGCTGTAAACAAAGCAAGCAGAGTCCTGTCTTGTATTAAGAAGGGGATGTATTGCAGGGACAAGTCTATAATTTTGCCACTTTACAGATCACTGGTCCGGCCACATCTGGAGTATGCAGTCAAGTTTTGGTCACCAATACTCAGAAAAGATGTCCTTGAGCTGGAAAAAGTCCAGAGGAGGGCAACCAAACTTATTAAGGGGTTCGAGGACCTGAACTATGAAACAAGGTTGTTAAAATTAAATATGTTCTCTTTGGAGGTTAGAAGATTAAGTGGGGACATGATCTTCTTGTATAAATTATTTAAGGGCGACAGCAACATTATTAACAAACTGTTTATGGTTAGCTCCGTAACAAAGACCAGAGGGCACAACCAAAAATTGGTGGGAAAAAAATGTCAACACACAGCAGGGCGCAATGGGTTCTTCACAGTCAGAGCGGTTAGGGTCTGGAACTCGCTGCCGCAGGAAGTGATCTCAGCTAAGAGTGTGGAATCATTCAAGAAACTCCTGGACGAGTTCCCCGGAGACCATAACATACAGGGGTACAGGTACTCCTAAGAGCAAAATCACACATGCACTTATACACACCAAGTCAAACATAAATGCATACACACAATAGGTTGGACTTGATGGACTTATGTCTTTATTCAACCTCAAATACTATGTACATTTTTCACCATGATCTTGTAGTAATGAGGGGAGAGTCTGTGTAGTCTTCTCCAACACATCCCAAAGATTCTCAATGGGGTTAAGTACCCTGTGGTGGCCAATCCATGTGTGAAAATGATGTCTCATGTTCCCTGAACAATTTGAGCCCGATGAATCCTGGCATTGTCATCTTGCTATATGTCCATTGATGGAAAAACCTGTTCATTCAGTATATTCTGGTGGGCAGCTGACCTCATTTTATCGGAAAAGAATATTGCTGAACTTAGACCTGACCAAACTGAAACAACCCCAGATCATAACACTGCCCACACAGGCTTGTTTGGTAGGCACGATGAGTGCATCACTTCAACCGCCTCTCTTCTTACCCTAATGCGCCCATCACTCTGGAACAGGGTAAATCTGGACTCATGAGACCACATGACCCTTTTCCATTTTTCTAGAGTCCAATCTTTATGCGCCATAGAAGAATGAAGCCTTTTTTTCTGATATAGTGGTTTTCTTAAGGCTACAAAGTTGGTTAGTCCCAATCCCTTGCATCCTCTTCACATTGTTCATGTGGAAATGCTTTTACTTTCACTATAAAACATAGGCGAGAGTTCTACTGTTTATTATTTTATGATTTTATCTCACCACAAATTTGACCACGATCATGCGAGATCTTTTTCTGACCATGTTTCTTCCTTGAAGATGATGGTGAATGATCAACACACTTGTTGTGAACGAGCCTTTAGAATACTCTTTGCTGACAGTAGCTCCTGTCTGTATCCACTGATCATCCATACTCAATACAGCTGTATCCCTCTATCCCTCTGTATACTATATATTGGGGTACATGTTGTGACCTCATATCATGTAGATGTCATTAGAATCCTTCATCTGCACCGGCTGTGCCAGTGGTCGGTAGATAAACTCAGAACGGTCTCCCACCTCTAGGATCAGACTGCTATAGAGACACAAGCTAACATGTCACATAAGCTGCACCGTGTATGTGTGACCTGCCCCCAAATGACCAATCCGTGACCCCCTGACAGAGTGGGCGTTCATCGTGTTGATGCTATAGGACAGTGAGGTAAGGGGGCGGGACAGTGCTGCTGGGGCGAAAGAGTGAAGGGTGGGCGGCCCGGGGGCGGGGCATTTT